TTTCCCATCTTCTGATCTCTGATCCCTTAACCCTAATCTCTCCTTCTCTATCACATTTAAAAAACACCCTTAAAAATAAATAAATAAAAAATAATAGATCTTGGTGATGCTATTTCCATGCAGGTATCCCTGAGCCTTCAAAACCTCATTGTCTACCCAAGCTGCCTATCAAAATGTCTCCAGATCCCTTTGCCTTCAGAAATTTGAACTACCTATGCCTATATACTGGAATTCTCAACTTGATCACTGATCTTTCACAGTTTGCCTTCTGCCTCATAGATCCTTTGCAAAAATACTCATAATCTCAGAGTGAAGAACTCCAGTTGTTCTGCAGTAGAGCCAAGGTGAAATATCACCATAAAAACATTAGCAGACATTTTAATGAAGTTTCTGTAAAATGCAGCTGTCTTTATAACTATAAATGAAACACAGGACCAATGTTTTAAGAATAACTGAACTATACCTAACTCCCATCAATTTTAAAGACTACTCTTGAATATGAAACTTCTCCAAAAAAAGATACATAATGGAACACACACACACTGGTCAAAAATCAGGATTTTAAAGAAAACTTCTCAAATGGCTGAGCCACTGTTGCAAGTGTTTCCAAACTGAAGGTAAAGGTACATCTCAAATGCTGCCTGATATATTAGATGGTATAGAAGATTTTCAAGTTTCTGCTGAAATTGCAACTAGGAAGTCTCATTAACAAACTGTCAGCAGATGGCACTATTGACCCTTTTTAGTACGACAAAATCCTTCATTTCATGGCAGTTACATTGTAACTGAAAAACTAGGAGGCTCCTGAAGACTTTCCTGTGACCTGAATCTGACTGCCTGCCAATTAAACAGAATCATATTTTTAAATTACTTGTGAATACGTTCAAAGCTGATCCATGCACAAGCAGAGAGAGAGCACCCCAGGTACTATCTTTAAACAGAAAGACAAAGCTTTAGGCCTCACTGTAATAAGGCTGTGTTCCACCAAGCTTTCCATATACAGAAAGCACACATTATGATTTATATGCCCTATAAAGTACTGTACACTTGGTGGTAGAAAAGCCTCCCCAAACAACCAAAATGAAAATCAAGTTAAATAAGGTTGACAAAATCTTTTTGCTCAATTCATAAGTGAAGCCAATAAAGCAATGTAACTGAAAAGCCAACCTAAACTTGTACAATGTAGAGCTGTGGCAATACTATTTAGGAGCAGTTGTTCCACTCTGGAGTTACAATTTCAAAAGATTACTTGAAATTCTGCTTTAATTGCTCATTAGAGACAATAATGATCTATCTGATCTAGAATTATACCAATGACTAGTCACTACAAATTACCCCAAATACTGCTGCATGCAATTAGTTGTCTTTCACATCACATCTGATGCTCAACTTCAATTCTACAACAAAAATTAATATTATTAAATTTCAACAGACTATATACTTGCACTATATCTAGCCCTTCCCATACTGTCACACAAAAAAAGGTAACTACTATATACCTTAAAAACCCACTAACAAGCCACAGCGTTGTTGACAAATCATGACATTACTTCCCCACACCACACAGTAACTGAATTCTACGAGAGGCATCTTTTGAATCCTTTGAGTATCGACTATCTGAGGCTAGGTTACCATGAATGAAAAACTAAGCAGAGAAGAAACCATGTCCTAAGTTGATTTAACTGCTTCCTGCTGCTTAACTGTTGAATCCCACCATGCAGTTGCAAGGTGTAAGTCAGCTCTAGTCCAAAGCCCATGAAGCCAAAATATAGGCACAGTTTTATTATTCTAGCAAGTCTCATTAACTTAAGCACAGCACTATTGTAATGAAGCTTGAAGTAAGTGGCTCAGAGCATACAACAGAAAACATCTGCCTGAGTCTGCAAAGCACCCTGAAGGAATACACACTAGCTACAAACAAAAATAACTACATAAGACCTAATTTTATTACCAAAAAAACCCAGACTGCCAAAGCATTTAAGGATACTAAAATATTACTTTACTTGTCTAAAACATTATTTCACAGAGATAAATACTGGAAATATCAAACTATTTTGTAACAACTACTGGATTTTATTTCATCTTATACACACTGATGTTCTGTTTCATATTCTTTTTCTGAGAAGTCACAACAGTCATTGTCTGAATGAGTTTGTTTCGGACTCCTTACAATTGGTATTTCACGGCATGAATCTTTTTGACAGCATCAGGGAGTTATCAAGGACAAAGAGGGTAGGGGGAATCAGGTGCAACACTGAAAAATGCTGCCAACAATGTTCAGGTCTGCAATTCTGGATTTTACATAGCTTTGGAGCTGGTGTGTTTTCGTTACTTGTGATTCTCCACTCAGAGGAAGAATGGCAAAAACGTAACTTGTCTCATTCTGAACACATCATTGAGTGCAACAAGCAAGAAACCAACATAGTATCATTCCTGGACCATTTACTGACAAATCAGTACCTGCTTGCTTTCCTTAATCCATCATACTTTCACAATTAGCTTCCCCCAAATTACTGGGCATTTGTAGCAAAAAACCAACAAAGCCTCCTCGTAGCCTTCCACATATCCACCCATTAACCTGAGTTAACAGTTCCTGTTTCTAGTGATCTTCATGAGACTTCTGGTTGGAATTTCAGCAAGGATCTTCCCCTTGAAAAGAATGCAGTGTTGGCTTGTACCCACTAGCCACAAGAACTAAAGCAAACACTGTTTCTGCTGTTCTGCTTCTGGTGTAGACGTTTACATGTTTCTTGCCCATCAGATGAATTTTGGAATTTCATGGCAAAACAAACTACAAAGGCAGCTGCATTTCAGGAGAAAGCAGAAATGAGGTTTCACCAACATCATTCATCTTCAAACTGTGCATCCTGTTATATGATGTCTTCACTCTCCAGCTGTAATTAAGTGCCTCAGATTTAGCTCAATAATCAGGCAATCCTCACAACCTTATGGTATGCACTTGCAGAAAGCCTCTGTGCAGCACAGTTTATTATTGCCAAAACAACCAAAATCTTCAGCTTCAGAAAGTTACTTATTTCCAGGACACTTGGGTCTGCCATAAGAGCATATTATGCCTTTGGTGTGTTAAATGCTCTTTACAGTAAGAGTACACACAACACCCCAACACTGTGCCCACATTTCATCTGCCTAGAATCCAGACGGACTTCAACATTACCTGTATGATGTAACAATGTAACTTTAGATCTTACACTACTTTCAAACCTTGAGTTACTTTCCACTTCAAGGACAGGCCTGAATTGACTAGATCCTTTCTGCCCTCTATTACTTCACCAGAAAAGACATGATGTACTGATATGGCTTTCTGTGCGAACTCACACTGCTTTCTGAAGCACCTTTACAATGAACAGTTCACACAGAAGAATACAGCCATCCTTGCCAGAACATTAGTTTTTCATATGAAAACAAGTTATTCCTGTATTATTAGAGACTTACTTATAGTACTGATTCATAATATAAAATATATTTAGATGTACTTACTCTTGGACCAGTAAATTAAAAACATCTAGGTAAAGCCTCACTACACTTTGCTACAGAATTTTAAGTTTATACTGGCAGAAACTTCCCCCTGAAATCAAAATAAATAAATAAAGGCTACTTATTTTGTTTCCTGATCCTCAAGATGTGTCACTATTGGATTCAGCTATTTTTTAGAGCAAGTTAAAATTAAATATTAGAACTGAGTCCACTACTGGAAGTATAAGCACATGACAATATTATTTTCGTAGTGTTTTTTGCAAAATCAACACCAATGTTGGTCAAATGGAATAAGCAGGCAACAAAAGAACATATGGGTTTGAAGGACATTAGTCTGCACAGGCTGAACAGGATTTTAATTTCTAAAGCATTAAATTAATGCTACAGAAAATGCACCTACTGAGACTAAAAGTGCTACTGTCTACCACATTAAAAAGCAATACTTCAAAATGCAAAATCAACTTTTAAAGGACTCCATTCTGTCACAAAATTAGTTTTCATCATGCAATACATACACAATAGCTGAAGAGAATCAAACCAATAGTTTTTATCATTTCAAGTTGAATAACACTGAAGAGCAGGTAAAAGTATAGTAATAAGGTATAAACCTTTGGGGCATGTTCATTCTTACTTGGTATACCATAACTCTAACTCAGAAAGGGAAACTGTTCAGTTTGTCCATTCAAGACCTGAGTTCCAACAGTCTGATAATTATGCAACTTTTTATTATAGCAGACACTAAGGTTTGTCAGAAAACAGTGTGAAGATGACCATGCATAAAGACAGTTTACCTAAAGTAAGACAGAATCATCTAATAAAGGCAGTTCACTTAACGTGACAGAATTCTTTTTAATGGGTAAAGTTCTCCAGGTCAGAAAAAAAGCTGAACAATTTGTATACCTACCTTTCTTGTTTTAATGCATATTCTAACATTTTTATTCTTCTCACTAAATCTTTCTTCAAATTTTCTTGGCCCTTTCTTTCCCCTTGTAAAAACGCTATCCGAGCCTGAAATCACACACACAGAAAGAAAAAAAACCCATTTTATTCCATTCTGTTGAAGAGAAAGATAAAAACTGGTTTGCATTAATTACTTCAGTGAGTCAACAACAACAAAACTATTTCTGCCCTAGTCAGTATTATTTTATGTTCATGTTAAAATGAACAGATTAATAAGTTTTAATAAGTTTGTATAGTAACTCTACAAGAGGGCTCAAACAGTAATCATACTACACATTTCAATATATCCACACATTTTTGTCCTTATGGCATTGTTAGCATAAATTCTATTACACATTTTCCTCCAAACCCACATTAGGCAGACAGCAATTAGCAATTTAGCTTCTAATGCAGCATATTGAACAGATTACATGAATTCAGAGACAGAATTTACACATCCATTATACAGGAAACAACTACTTTATGGATTCACATGTTACTCACTCCTGAAGACAGCTGAAGGTTAGAATACTGAGGTAAAATAGAGCTTAGAGTGTTGTTCTATATGGAGAAAAATAACACTATGCTTTTTTAAAGCATTAATCGTACTACACACCTAACTTAAAAAGAAGCAAGGAATATTCCTACTTGCCTGTTAAGCCAATAGATAATAAATTCAGCAAAACATACAACCCATCCCAACTAGTGCAAAAGCTTAAAAGTAGTTGAAAAATAAAGGTTGTAAGTTTGTTGAGGAAAAAAGTAGTCTTCACTACAAAGTAAATGGTCTTATCTTTTGCCTTTTGCAAGCCAAACTCCTAGGGTCGACAAGGGAAATTGCAGATGTGAATGCAAAATTTAAACAGTTAATTATATTACTGGATTGGACATCATTACAGGAAACCACAAACTCATTTGTCCTCATTATGACTTCAAATTGACTGAAGTCACTAGGTAGCTAATTGAAGACAAGCTTCAATATAAAATTTTCTTGGAAGATGGATTTTAAAAAAATAGAGTAAGCAGAGTAGAAACCACATTGTTCTATTGATACTGAGCTCAGGAACACCAACATAATTTCATTATTGAGGATGCAAGGGGGAAGGGGGGGAAGTGCTATAATCGGCACCTGATCTATCCTAGAAGGTTTTTTTAAAGGGAGTGGTTGCACATTTTCATTACTCAGTGGTTACAGCCTGAAACAGTCTAATCAGGATGACAGCATTCTTGCATCGCTCTTTTCTTGAGACTAAGAGATATCACTGTATAAAGTTTCACTCATCAGCCCTGATTTTAGCCCCTCTGGCCTTGTGCTCAATGGTGAACCACATTAAAATATGTCCCTCTACCACGCATTAGCTAACCAATGATTTAATAAATTAACATTTAAAATCCTAGTGAGAACAAGGCAGCTATGAATATTTTAGTTAAGTCTGTCATGAAAGCATTCTCAACTAACCATTGCCACTTGGTGACAAACAGTAATGCACCAAACAGTGTATGGTAACAGAGAAGGGCTTTAGAGGAGGGGGGTGAGCACCACCAATCCCACACAAAAAAAACCCCCAAACAAACAACCCCAAACATACCTAGTACTGATTGCACAGATATTTCAAGATAAACAGTAGAGATCAAGGCCCAATATCAGCTATTTTAAATAGTGGGAAGGGGATGGAGGGAGTTGAGCAAACCTAACTGTACTGAACTGCAGTTAGGTTACTTAGGATTAAAATCTTCTGTAAAACTGACTCTAATTGAATAGAAAGTTAACAGCCTTCACAGAAAATTACAATTACATGCAATTTGCACTCCTCTAGTACCTAAAGCAGCAAATGACCAATCTCAGAACCCCAAGGTGTTATCTCAATTTTCACTTGTCAATGACAACAAAAAGTGTCCTTATACACAAATACAAAAGTACACAAAATAGTTACAAAAGTAGGCTTCTTTAAAGAATAATGTGTTACATGCACATATGCACACCACCATACTCCAAACATCTGGAAGTTACTGGCTGCCCACAGACTTTTTATGAAAATAAACCCAGAACTATATAGTTTGATAATTATCTAATGAAGGTTATCAAAGCTCTTATGTCCTCTGTCTTAAATGCAAAACTCAAATCTTTCCAAAATTCAGGTCTTTTTTAAGTGGTGGTCTTCTTCCCTTTTATTAAGTCTTTCACTGGCCAGCACCCTTTTATACCCATTTCATAAACCTTAGCTGCCAGCTGCAACTGCTGGGCCCTATTTCAGCCTCAGAGAGGAAAACAATATAGATGTGATCAGACACAGATGAGGCATCTGCTTCCTAAATGCTCAGAGGCAAATCTTCCTTATGGAAACACTTCTGGAGTACTTGGTGAAACAGATTCAAGTCTCCGTATTTAAAAGGTATTGCCTAGATGTCAAGAGTTTTCAACCAGAGTGGTTAATGAGCTAAGTGATCTTGAGAATTAATATGGTACAGAAATAATGGTATCAAAATAAACAAAACCAGAAAACTCATCCCTAAAAAAAGGCCTCAAAAACCCTTTTATATAGATCCCCTTATAACAATCTTCACAGGGTCCAACAGGTCAAACAAAGGTTGTCACACAAGAACACACTTTGTAGTTGGGGCTTTTACATTTCTGTCAATATCAGCAGACTTCTTTTAGCATTGCTTTCTGAAATTGCTTGCACAAACACTTGAGTGATTTTAACATTTATTACTCTTTTCTCACAGTAACCACTGCATGGTTAAAATGTATCCAAAGTTAGATACACCAAAGTTAGGAGCTCAATCTTTAAAAATACAGAAAATCAATTTAGACTTGAGGAATACTTAGCCATCAAGACCTTCAAAAGAAAACCAAGAACTAGTTCACTGAAAATCTGGTGTGTAAGTTAATCAACTTGCTTCCTTCGGTCTTGAACCGAGCAATGAGGGGTGTCAAAACAAACACCTGAACTACTGCATGACCATGAGCCCTAAGAAGTAACACAATTTCTCAACACCACCTTCTTTGAAAAGCAGCAAATCTCAGGGTCGATAAAAACATAAAAAGTAAACAGATCTCCCTTAGGACGGATGTACTAACTTAGGTTCCACCAACAACAACAAATGCTTAAGAAATTCTCTGTGCATAATACAACTTACGCCTTAAGTATTCATTTCATTTCAAAAAAATCTCGGGAAAGCCAGATTAACATGATTTGTAAATATACTGATGATTTAAGACTGTCTAGAACAAAAATTGGTAAACAAAATGGCATAGAACAACTAGGTACTCACCTTTCCACCCCACCCCACCCTTCCCAGTTACAACAGAATTCCTTCCCTCCTCTTACAGCAATTTGCAAGTCCCCAGGCTGATACTAAGAGGAGCAATCCTCCTCCTCCTCCTCCCTGTATTTCTGTTCCTTCTACTGTGCTGACTTAGCTGCTTGTGCTGACACACATCAAGTCTACCAAGGAAATAACTCTATTTATATTTTTCTTGGTTCTGAATTACATCAGTTTCCTGATCCTACTCTGCATAGCCATGGGAGTACTTACGGAGGCATAAGGGATGCAAACAGGATGCTGAAGTAACAGCTCCTTTCAGTGACAACATGGTCTTAGATCATCCTAAACTGACCTTGATATCATTACCTGCATGGCCACAGCACAAGAGTTAGAAAAACAAGAATACTAAGACTAAGAAAGTCAAACACAATACAAGTCTTAACTCATTTGAATTGAAAATTCAATTGAAATCCATTTTTAGAAATATATTAGCAAGACCATTTCTTAAGGGGCAGAAAACACCTTCTTTTACAAAACATGTAATAGTTCTATAAGCAAAAAAATGGCCTCTCATGGCTTAAAGCAAAATCCACCTGAAGTTAGTTGTGTACAGATTCTATTAGAACACTTTTCACCAGGTAAGTCTGTGCTGCAGATTCTTCAAAGTCCAGAACTCCATTTTCCAGGAGGTTCTCTCTCTTCTTTCTACCAGCCTGTTATTTTATTTATAGTATTTTCACAGACCTGATATCCACTATCTTTCTACAAAGCTGACAGTTAAAACTCTGGGCTCTGCCTACACCCCGGCCCTCAGCTCTAAGTAAGCATACTACCACATGAACTTGCTCATCTTTATGATGAAAGTGAATTCAGCAAGCTTTGAGGAGTAGTTAAGAGTGACAAATATTTTGTATTTGTGCAAGGATGCATGAAATAATGCCTGAAACTAGGCAAGATAGAACACAAGACAAAAAATACTACTGAACAGCTACTTGAATAATACGGACCCCATGAAAAAATTTTCTGAGGTTAAAAAAATATAGAGTGCACATACAGAAAGAAACAAATGGAAGTCCTAACATCAAATATTCTAGACTTTGTAAACTTAGGATTGTTTTAATGGCATGATGCATTTTAGACATACACTACATTCTGTAGTTGGAAGGAGTTCTCTTTTCACCAGAACAGCTACTTGAATAATACGGACCCCATGAAAAAATTTTCTGAGGTTAAAAAAATATAGAGTGCACATACAGAAAGAAACAAATGGAAGTCCTAACATCAAATATTCTAGACTTTGTAAACTTAGGATTGTTTTAATGGCATGATGCATTTTAGACATACACTACATTCTGTAGTTGGAAGGAGTTCTCTTTTCACCAGGAAGTCTACTGCAAACCTTTCACTCTTTCACCCAAACTCTAAGGTCTCAAATAAGAAACTGACACTTCCCTTAAATGACAGAAATAATTAAAATCACTGATTACACTGGCACTCCACAGCCATAGTATGCAATTACACTGCTTGACCGAAGTGTAACAGAAGATTTAAAGTAGTTTACTAAGTAACTTACACATCAATTATTTAAAATATTGCATTTCATATGGAAGTTCATAAATAAAAATTAAAAGGAAAAAATAATTCCTGGCTAGAAAAATGAGGAATTTTTCCCCTTCTTTCGATATAAACTTGAAAGGTCCTAAAGCTTCAGAATTATTACTCTCTGTTTCATACAGCACTACCCATAACAGCAGCATTCATATTAAAACTGCACTTTTAACTGCATAGAAAAGACT